TTGCTAAGGTGCAGAGTTCTGGAACATTGAGTCGTGTAGCTGTTTGCATCCGACAGTGGAAGAACTCTTCATGTTCGCCATGGGTGCATATCCATGCATCGACTCCTTGTGGAAGTGGAAGTCCGCTTCGCAACTTCAATCCGAACTCAGTCACTGAGAAAGACCAGGAATGGGATGAGATCATCAATGCGATTGGTGGTTACTTCAAACATGCAGACTCGTGTTCGTTTGAGCTTCCAGAACGAAATGCCATTTGGTCCCGACCTGAGACAGTGAATCTCTTAGAGAGTTTTGACATGAGGCATCAGGCTTTGGTGAGGTTGTGCAAAACTGGATGTCAGAACAAGGATGGTATTCCGATTGGAAAGACATTGAAGTTTGTTTCCAATTCAGTTTCTTTTTCAACAAATCTCCACTCCAAACTTTCGACATGTACATGCCAGATTCATGCCGAACTTAATCAAATCAACTATACTGAAACAGCGTTTTACAACCGAAAGTTGGCAAGATACATTTTGATTGCGGTCAAACACGCAGCGAAGAAGTGAATTTTCGTTTGAAAGGGGGCCCTGTGACAGAGAGAGAGAGACAGAAGTTGGATCCACGTCACGTCTCATTTTCCTGTTTTTTGCATGTTGTTTTAAACAAACGTTACCAAAGACAAACAGGAGTTTTCACTGTGTTGCATTTGTGCAGAGTTTTGTTGCGCGATGCTGTAAGATGCAGTGTGTGCGCGGCGCAGAACAATCTGAAAGGTCACTGATTCTATCACGCAAGTGATGGCGGTTCGACACTTCGTTTCACGTTCTAGGTTGATTGCTCCTAAGAGTTTGGCCACGGTCTAGTGCTTTTTCACTACCGGACGCGGTTTGATTTTGCAGCCATGGCATCATCCAATTGGAGCATTGAGGATGAGAAGATGTTTCAGCAGATGGCACAGCGTCGTACTTCTCAGATGCCATTGCCGACAACTGAATCTAGTGGTGCAATGACCGATGCATCAAAGCGCCGATTTGAAGATGCCGACTTTGAGGTATCAGAGTCAGATTGGGTGGTTGGAAGTAGTTTCATGGAGCCTGTGGGAGGCACCGAGGATTTGGCCACAAAGGCCTTGCTTCCAGCTGGTGTTGCGAGTATGACAATGTGGGGAAAGACCAAGTTTGCATTTGGAAAGTATGAGAAAGAGAAAAAGAGTTACAAGACTGTCTTCGAGGAAGACCCCACTATGTTTCATGGTGTCGAAAACATTTGACCAAAGACTCAGCGAAGGGTCCTGCCTTGGATTGGTCAAGGTACATTAAGGCCCGAGATCTGGTGGACTGCAAAGCGGCTAATGTGCCATTCTATGCAGGAACTACCTTGCGTCGAGAGTTTTGTGATTGAGGACACTGTGATGATGGTTGGATCTATACAGGATCTCATTCTATGTGGACAACTGTAGTTTGCAAGATTGTCGAACTGGATGAGTGGTCACTATGTAGCCCTTCGGCTAAGGGCACCCTTATGTATTGACCTGTCGAACTTGGGCGATATGTGCTGAAGTCTGGATGGGTTACAGCCTATATGTATGGTATGGAATGGAGTTCATCTCAAAAGGGGGTGTGAAAATATGACATCTGTGAGGAGATGTCCGACATCTGTGGTGAGATGAATCCATTTGGTCTTTTCTGCATTGGAAGAAGTGAATTTGTTTTTCCACCTTGATGGTGAGATCATCCGTGATGGTTGATATCGTATTTGCACGTTTCATATTTTGCACGTTTTATTGGAGATGACGAAACCCAACAACAATATACTTTTCGTCTTCTTTGAGTACTTTGATTGCACGGAGAACACAGTGAGGATTTGAATTCGTAGATTGACATGGAAAATCAACATATTTTCCATATCTTTTGCTTTAGTTTTTGCCGGCGAAGTGCACGAAGGAATCGTGAGAAGATCGTAGAATTCATTTTGTGACTTCGGAAGAAGGAACGTTGTTTGACATTGATTGGAGAAGTTTATCTTGTTTTGTCTCTCAATGATGATGGCGAGAGCAACGTTCTGAAAGGCATTCAGAACTGGAGTTGCTAATAGATCTGAGGGAGACATCACAGAACATGTTTTGGTGCTTGAAATGTTTCAACAGTTTTCAAACACTCAAACTTATTTAAACAAACAAACCATGTCTTGATGTAAAGACTTTTTGTGAGGACATGTGCTTTTGATCGCTTTTGTGAAGTTGACAGAAACATGTCAACTGGCGACTCCGCATCATTTTGTGTCAAGGCGTGACACACCAACAAGAACCATAGCGACATGAGCAAGACATTTCGCCTTGTTTGTGCTTGTGTAAAAGTGGCTGAGCTCTGGGAGTAGTTGACTTGGTTGCGTGGACGGTCTTTTAGTGTGTTAAGGACGACGTCCTGGACGCTGACCCAAGTAGGTCTAGAGGTTTCGAAGGTTTGTGGCCTTCCGCATTTTGCATCTCCAGCCTTCTTACGGAATCTGCTGGAGTCATGAAATCGAAACTCTTCCCCCAATGTAAACAAAGGATTCATCCGGTTTTAAATATATACTATTATTCTTTAACCGGATGATACTGAACTCCGGGCGACATACATAACCCGACCCGCAAAGTTGCTGCGTTAGGAGTCTAGGGGGGCGAAGGGGGGGAGCCCAAAAACAAACAACGCATCAAGAGACCAAAACAAAACTGAGCAGTGCGACGCCCAATCGTGACAAAACGATCCACTGCCAACGCAAACACAGAAAAAAGCATCCCGCCAGCAATGTCGCAGCGGAATCAGCACCTCACCGACGCCATGTTGCGAAAGCCTGCGACAACAACACCCAAACAATTCCAAACAACATGGTGCTTTGGCAAAGATTGGCAACATGCAGGCGGGGCTAGAGACCTTCAATCAGCAACCGTGTTCCCCGGAATCCTCGCCATTTTTCGCAAAAAAGGTCACTGCAGCAATCTCATTTTCGGGGCCGTAAACACATTGGCTTTTTGGACTCCAAGAAGTGGTCCTCCCCAGTAACTTTTCCAATTTTTGTACAATGTCGTGTACAATGCATGAGTGAAAGCTTGATGGTAAAACGTGCTGAAAAAGCTGTACAAAGGTGCAAAATGGGTTTGTTCCATTTGAGCAGCACTGACCAGCGTGACTTCTGCATGCAGCCGTGAGTGCGGTTCGGAGCTGACAGTGACTTTAACAGATCTGCAGAGCCCGAGTTCGATGACTTTCAACTGACTCCAGCAGCTCTGAGAGAAGTTGCAAACAACAGACTCTGTTTGTAGAGTTTCGAGACGAATATAGTTTGCAGTGGAGAACCAAACGAACATGGATTGGACAACGTTGTCTGGAAACTGTCTCTGCATTGCCTCATTGATATGTGAGAAAACCTTCGTTTCAATTGTTTCATGATCAATTTTTTTCCGTCTAGTATGGCCGTCAATGTCTGGACACGCAACATCGTGTGGATAGGAGTGAACAAGCAAAGACTTCTTTTTTTCTCCGGTTTGGTCGATGAAGCTCACAGGCTTGGCGGCAAACCAAAGGACCTGGGACGACCCGGCAGATTTGCGTTTCGCCTCGCAAACAAAAGCAAAGCAACAGCAGAACGAGGCCAGAGCCAACCAAAACACAAGCGAAGAAAAAAAAATGTTAGGCATTTGTCACGGTTGTCATTTTTGAAAGATACTTTCTAGGGAGGCCCAAATGAACGCGACCAAAATATGAGCTGTTTTGAAGGCTAGAAATAGGCCTCAACTTGGAGGTACTGAGGCCTGAGGTGGACGCGCTGTAAAGGCGGATTGGCAGCAGCAGCAATTTTCAACACTTGTGTCTTTGTGGGTTCTGCTGTAGAATACTGTGCGCAGGAATGTCCATGCAGACCGCATAAGTCAAAGATGTTGGGGGAGAACCAGCGCAAAAAATTGTGGTACGGCGCCCACGCCCGTCACAGGCCACCCTAAAGCCCTAAGACCTTTACTATTGGGTGACACGTTTTCATTGCTAAGAATCCGTGTGAAATTTGAAGCTATTTTCATCGCTTTATTATTTCCCTGAACCTCTTTTTGTTTCCCAGAGTTCTTGACCCTGAACGTCTTTTTGTTTCCGGGGTTTGTGATTTATGTCCATCAATCCCGTATTTATGTCCCCAGGTAGCCGGTACGCTTTTGTGCGCTTGTGGCGCAGCGAGGGGTACCGGACTGTTGAGCCCAGCAGAATTAATGAACAAGGTCTTCCTAAAGCAATGTTTTTGAGAGAGGTAACATTAAACCAGGAAGCTGTTCATAATTAGCCACTTTTGGAACTCTTGGGAGTATACGGGGCCACCCCGTTTGGGAAGCTACGAGTATACGGGTGTACAACGCTATCGGGCATAGATAAACCCTCTTCTCCCGCTAGTTAATAACTTTGTAAGTCCCAAACGGGGTGGCCCACAGTCCTTCCGCCCGCTAATAGTATTCTGATGGCACTGTGTTCCACGTTGGTTGTCCTCCCGCCCGCTAATAATATTCTGATGGCATTGCGTTCGACTGTCGTCGTCCCTCCGCCCGCTAATAGTATTCTGATTGCATTGTGTTCCACTTGG